AGTTTGAAACCAATTTACATTTTTAAGGAATCCGAACTGGCTTTAAAAAAAAAAAAAAAAAAAAAAAAGGGAAAAACATTTATTGCACGTGCATGAGTTTTTTTTTTTTAGTAACAAGAGCTCATTAAAAATATAGGGGACACAGTTTGTGACAAGCCCGAGTAAAGACCACGTGGTTTAAACACTAAAAGTTTGAAATGGATCCTTGTAGGAAAAATCTATTAAAAGCTCTGCATATTTTGCAGGCTCTGAAAGTTGCAACTATAAAATAGCTCATGAGACAATTGTAATTGGACATGGAAAAAATATAACAAAGTTAAAATTACAGGCCTCTTGGGTATGTATGTTATATGTTTGTGTATGTTATATGTTTGTGTATGTTATATGTTTGTGTATATTATATGTTTGTGTATGTTATATGTTTGTGTATGTTATATGTTTGTGTATGTTATATGTTTGTGCGTCATGTCAAGTACATTACGATGACCTTAACAAACTCTGGACTAAAATACTAACGTGGGGAGGCGGCCTGAGTGAGTGATGCGAGTGTGATGTGAAATGAAGAGTGCTGAACGGAATCATGGAATAACAAAAGTTTTCTGTAATGTTTTAATGTGATCATGGAATAATTATTTTTTGTCAACAGCATACGATGTAAGTACTATAGATTCAAAGATAACAAGCTTTATTGAACAGGTGTAAAAGTGAGAGTACTCTGGGATGAGTACTCTGAGAAAAGTACTCTGAGAAAGTACTCTGAGATGAATACCTTGCTGAAGGTACTGGGAGCCCCTCCCTCTGCTGTTTGTCCGGACAGTGATTCGGTCCAACCGCAGTGAGCGGTCATTGGGAGGAGGACAACTTTGGTTTGTAACTCACATTTAGGGGAGTATAAAATTAGAAACATACATTTTGTTAAGTCTGTATTTGGCTACAGCCTCTGCCCTGATGCCACACACCGTCTGTCAATGCAGTTATGTTTTGCCCAATTGGATTGATTGACAGGCCGCACAATGCGAAGAGAGGAAAGTGGGCGTTTCTTGTGTTCTAATGTTTGTTTTTCAGATGAGAGATAAACTGTACCTGCTTCAGGGATAACACAGTAGTATGGATCATGAGGAAAATGAGCCTCTACTTTGGCACCAAAGCCCACAATATGAATTGAGGACGATCCGGGAGGAGCAACAGGATTGGAACAGTAATCTACACACACACAGATGCATGTTTTATACTTTGGACCACGACCAACAGAGGGGAGTATTGTATTGTCATAGGTGGTCATGGTCAAAAAGCAAAATGGGAAAATTATTAAGTAATTTTCGGAGTTGCCAAAATGAAATAAAATTCTATATTTGTCCCATAGGGGGTCATTCTAAATTTAGTGTTGTGCAAATTCAAAAGGAGAAATAATAGCGCTTATAACATCAAACAGATCTACTCTTTAAGATAATAGATCATATAATAAGATAATAATAGAATAGAATGAAATAGTCTGGAGCTATAATGTCATTGGATTCGAGGAGCTATAGGTTGAAGTGTCAGAATAAACAATAGTAATAATAGTTAGACTAGTGAATAATCAAAATAGTTCTATTGTGGAAATAAGTATCAATAAGGTCAAATTGTTCTAATAACTAAAGTAAAAAGGAATCAAATGGAGTCAGATTTTAGATGTTTCTGTTTTCCACATCTGTAGGAACTAGTGCAGATGTGTTTATAGAGAGTAGTATTAAAATGCAGACATAGAACGACAGGCTTTAACACAATTTTAAATCTAAAAATAGCTCAAATATAACATTGCTCTTGACGCAGCCTCTGAGCTGCTCCATTGGAGAACAGGTTAAATGTTATTGTTTATTACAAACAGCTGATGTATTTACACATATTAAGTTTGGGACAACTCTTTAAACAGTTATAAGCAGCGGACAGAAGCCATGAATGTGCTTTTGTTTATTAAATAATTAATTTCATAGCCTTATAATCGTGGAAAACGTTTTAAAATAGTTAAAATCCCTTTCAGGCAACTTGATTTAGATTTATGTCTTTAATATTAGAGAACGACTGTGTTGTTTTTGGAATTGTCTGAAATACAATACATAGAATAGTGATTTGCAGAACAAGAACCAGCCAATGAAAAATCGTCTATTGCCAATGCAATTGTTACAATCAGAACTCAAAAATTGGGAATATGC